ACTGCCCCTGTGCTCTTCAATAAGCCTGTTTCCTGATGTGTAAAACTGAAATGATAATATGATTAAATAAAATAACATTTCAGAGAACCTGATCCAGATACTCTGAATAAAAATTGTTACCCTGTTAACTGTTTTTTCAAAAAGTTTTTCAATTACCATAAAAACTATACATGTTCCTTAACTTATAAAGAGATCATGTCCTGATACACCCAATATAAACTGAAAATAATGCAAGTCAAAAATACATTTAAAGCCTGAAGGTGTAGCTTAGTGGCAGAATGCTTGCCTGGTACAGTCAAGACCCTGGGTTCACTTCCCAGTAACAGAAAGAAAAAAAAAAATACGTATAACTAAACTATCAAACATCCTAGCTCAGCAACACGGCAAACTACAATAATGGTTGTTCACCCTTATGATCTTGGGGCTGACTGGTGGCCAGGGCTTACTGTTGCTGCCGGACGTTTAAAGAGGATATGGGATTTCACGTTACCCTGGGAAAACAAAATGCAGCATTCCAAGTACAGTTTCTAATGAGTGCTTGTTGAGCCCGGGATTTAGCTCAGTGGTGCCACCACCTGCCTTGCAAGAGCAAGATCCTGAGCTTGATCTCCGGTACCAAAAAAAAAAAAAACCCACTAATGAGTGTGTGTTGCTTTTGTAACATCATAAAGTCAAAAAATTGTAAGTGGAAACACTATTAAGTCCAGAATTACCTATATTTGCCCAAAACTCTTGAGAAGGTAAAGATGCAACTTTTTCCCTCAGGAAGAGTACAGACGGTTCATTGAAGCATCTTTCAATTTAGTAGGTCAATTAGCCTCTTAATAGGGCCTGGAGGTTACCGAATCATTTATTCACAGGTCAAGTATCACAATAAACCTGCAATAATAATCTATGTGTGTATATGTGTGTGTGTGTACCGGGGATTAAACCCAGGGCCTTGAGCATGCTGGAGAGGTGCTCTACCACTAAGCTAAACACCTAGCCCATGATGATTTCTTAAGTTGATAAAACTATCAGCTAGGGTTTAAAATTTTTACAACCTGATATTTATCATGATTAATTTTTACCTATTTGTTACATGTAGCACAATACTCTTTTAATAAGATTATTCTCTTTTCATTTCACTTTCTCCATTTCTTTCATTTTAATATAAAAACATTACCTCCTATATAATGAATATTTCAGAGGCAGGAAAAAAAATCATTATTTTATGAAAGTTCTACTATGTTTTAGTTCAGATAAGGAAAACTGACTTAATCACTTCACTACAGCACTGAACTTGGAAGTATAATCCATGAACTTGAAGCCTATGTATTTATTCTTTAGATGTCCTTGAATTTGCATTCAGAATCTATTTTTAACTGAGACATAATATTTGTACATCTTTATGGGGTATCAGGGTCTATTTACTCTTACTGAAGTAAAATTTCAACTTCAAAATTTCATGACTGTAAACTAGGTGTGGTGACAGACCTGTAATCCTAGCACTGGGAAGGCTGAGGCAGGAGGATCACCTCAAGTTTGAGGCCAGCCTGGGATACATAGTGAGTTCAAGGCCAGCCTGAATTACAGAATGAGACCCTGTCTCCAAAAAAAATTTTTTTTGTTTTTCCTGACTCTTTGATTAGTTCCTGATTTTAACAAATCAGCCATAAAAATATTTTGGGGCAACCAGGTAAATCTGATTATGCATGGTGTTTTAAGATAATATTAGGAAACTATCATCAATTTTATTAGGTTAATATTGCAGTTTAAATGTCACGATGTCTATAATTAATGGTTTTCCATGACAAAGACAAGATAAAGATTGCCAGCCTGATTTCTTAAACCACAGTAGGTCGGAAGCAGCAAGTAGAAAAAAAGGAGGATAGCTGCAATAAAGCATGTTAAGAGTTGTTAGGTTCCGCCGCCTGCCCTGCAAGCCCAAGGACCCAAGTTCAATCCCTGGTACCAAAAAAAAAAAAAAAAAAACAAGATTTGCTAGGGATGCAAACTGATAGCAGGACAGTAAGAGAAAAAACATCAAGACTGCACGGTATATGACATGTAAACAAGAAGTCAATGATCTGGACACCTCAGGTAGTAGCTATCCAGGGTTTCCCCTAGGAGCAGCACAGCATAAGAAAGCAATGTAATAATTAAGAGGCTGAGATTCTTGTCTTGTTTTTTTTTTATTACTACCTGCCTAACCACAGCATTTTCTTACACAAAAATAACCTTTTAATAAAAGTTGAAAAGAAAAAATTACATATAATATCAGAGCTCTGCAACTACATGAACACTCTTGGCCAATATTCTCAAATTTCTATTTTGAACAAACAACTTTTGTATACATGTTTTTGTGTTAATTTAAAAAATGACCACTTTCCAAGTTCTTACTTAACAAATACAAGGCAACAAGAAACACACAGACTGTAATTAAGGAACTCCTTCCTTATTGCAAGCTAATCGAATTTTTACTTCTACGCACAGCATTGTGGTGAACACCACTCTGTAAACAATTTTTTCCTTCTTTCAGGTTATTTACTTGGGATAGTATCCCAGAAATGAGATTAATGGGTCAAAGGCCTGAAGGTATTACCAAGCTACATTCTACTGCATACCACTGACACCACAGTCATGATATGTCATGAAAATTTCACCTTAGCCCTGGCTACACTTACATTTTGGTAATTCATTTGCTATACAATACTAATTTTAAAATGCTAAGTAAGACAATCAACAGAAAAATGCAGTTTTCCTGTATGTTCCTTCACCAATAGCAGTAATTTCTCTGTGATTTTTCACAAGCTGTTAAACCTACTGGGACTTTTGTTGGCACCTCTACAAAATGAGAAGATTGTATTCATTTCACTATTCCCCAGGGAAGTGACAATTAAAGAGAGACTATTTCTCATACATGAGATTGGCAGCACTTTAAGACCAATAGGTTTCAGGGGCCAGGGATTTAGCTCAGTGCTTCCGCCCCCTGCCTTGCAAGCGCAAGGTCCCGAGTTCGACATCTGGTACCAAAAAAAATAAGCTTCAGCATTAGAAAGATTTCAGGGAAAGGGCATTCTCATGTACTGCTGAGGGTGTATATCTCTGAAACTAATCTGAGAGTGTCAACAAAAATTAGAAGTATACATACTCCTGGCCAGGGATTTAGCTCAGTGGTTTCACCGCCTGCTGCACAAACGCAAGGACCAGAATTCAATCCCCGGTACCAAAAAAAAAAAAAGAAGTATACATACTCCTTAACCCAGGATTTCATTTTTTAAGGTCTTCAATAAGAGAGGCAACAATAAGAAAGAATATGTTTATTAAGGATAATTTATAATGACAAACTAGAACCTCCTGAAAGTTAATCAACATGGGGAAAGAGTTGAATAAATTATAGCATATCTACACTAGAGAATGTTAAGCAAGCTTTGGAGCTATTATATTAACCTGGAGAAGCAGCCATGTATCCATGATATAATGGTATGTAAGCAAGCAACTATAGCACACTATAGTGATGACTGCAGCTCTGTGATCATCTCATTACAATTCTTTAATTTTTAAAAGTAAAACCTTAAACATGTATTAAGTATTATATTTATCACTATAGAGAAAGGTGTAGAAGATATAGCAAACTAGTAACAAGATTTCTTCAGGTGAGAGGAGGGCAAATTATTCCCTTCTTCATGTTCCTCTATACTATTTGACTTACTGATATTTTGTAAATATCTAATGATATTTTGTAAATGTAAATATATATATATATCTTATTCTAATTTGACGTCCAAACCAATATCATTCTATATTAGTTCAGAAAGAGATCACTGATCTTTGGAATGGCTAAGTTATGTTCAATACACCACACAAGTATATAATATAGTTTTGTAAGGTTTACAACAAAAATAATATTTTTTTAAAGGCTGACACAAAGGAATAAGTAGGGGGAAAAATTAACTTATGTTAAACACTTCAGCTCCAACCCTTAATTTTGCATAAATGAAACATTATATTATCCAAGTTAGTAAGCTGTGCAAAAAATTCTCATGTTGAAATGCACACTGAACTCTTCTCCCACTTGGTCCTAGATTCAGCCTAGTGGCAGCAATTAGGAAAAAATGGTTTTATGTACTCTGAGTACTCCAAGAATAAGATTCTTATTAATCTCAGTTCCTGCCCAAAAGAAAACACAAATGATTAAGAGCATTATAGTGGTCTCTTCTTCCTAAGGAAAATCTTCTCCCATCTAAGCACTAACAAGGCCTGACCCTGCTTAGCATTGAGATCAGACCAGATCGAGTGTATTCAGGGTGGTATGGCCGTAGACGTTAAGGAAAATCTTCTGATTAAAGAAACATTTTAGGAGAGTAGGCCGTTATTCTGAATTTATTCAAGCTTAACATTTTTTTGGTACTGGGGATTGAACTTAGAACCTGGTGCTCGTGAGGCAGGCGGCGGAACCACTGAGCTAAATCCCTGGCCCTCAAGCTTAACATTTTAATTCATGTATGCTACATTTCTTTTTTTTTTTTGGTACCGGGGATCGAACTTGGGACCTTGCGCTTGTGAGGCAGGCACCGGAACCACTGAGCTAAATAATCCCCGGCCCCTAATGCTACATTTCTTAAATGCGGGTTCTTATTAATTAGAAATACACAGGGCCCAGGATTTAGCTCAGTGGTTCCAGCGCCTGACTTGTAAGTGCAAGGTCCCGAGTTCAATTCCCGGTAACCAAAAAAAAGATAGAAATACACAAACTATAAAAAGAATATACTGTCAGTGTTCCCTCGGGGGTGACAGGAACATCAACATTTGTGAATAGGAACAATGTACACCTGTACTCGTCTTAGCAGGAAAGATATCAACTTAATCAGTCATTAGGTACCACAGTAAGGTACGGATTTTTAACATTATAATTACTTTTGAAATCAGCAAATGAAAAAAGTCAAACCTTAAATACTGCTCAATTAAATAATTCAAAATCTTCAAATCAGAAAAGAGTCCCGTTTTTATAAACGTACCATGCCTACAATCTTCATCAGCTTGCCCATAGTTTTTCTGCAAAATAAAAGAAGATAAAATTAAGTAGTTCAAGGGCTCCTTCTGTCTGGTTTGATTTTGGTTTTGTAGTACTGGGGATTGAACTCAGGGCCTCATGCATGCTAGGCATGTGCTCTATCACTGAGCTACACCACAAACACCACCACCCACCCACCTCCACTGCCTTTAAGAGATGTTACTGAAGAGAATCTCAGCTTTGTTTCAAAGCTGAATCATGAATGTTGTAAACTTAATAGCCACAAATATTCACAGACCAGAGCTAAACCCTGTATTCTGTGAGGATTATACAACACTCTGCAAACAAACACCACAGTGTGCTCCCCTAGTCCACTGACTCTGGCCTGCAATTGTTGCCTTCTCTCACCTCTTCCAGCCACAAGCTCCTCTCCAACCTTCTCCTCTGCAAATGGCTTGACTGAGAATCTGGAGTGGAGAAGAGAATTTCCACTGACTACTACTTCTGCTGCCCAGAACCGTCTGTTCCTTCCAGCCGTGTACAAATGAACTATCCCTGCTACTTCTAAAGTCAATCCTATCACCGTGCAGATCCTCTCCTCTGCTGGTTCAAGGATACCACTCCAACAAGCCTCCTCCATTTCTCTCACATCTTTGCTATTTCACTTTTGGTTGGCCATAGTTATAAACAAACATACTGTTATTTCTCCCAGCGAGTCAAGTCTTTCTCTTGACTTCACTCCTCCCACTATCTTTCTGGTGCCCTTATTAAGGTATTCCCATGCCTCCTCTGAGTCTCTCTTAGGCCCTTTTTAATCAAACTGCCACCCACTGTTCCAAGAAAGCTATTCTCATGGCAGTCACCAGTGACCTCCACTGCATCCAGTCAGATCCACAGTTATATTCACACATATTCATCTAGACACCGCTACTTGTCTAGTGGCAGCCCACACCGGTGAAGACTGGCTTACTTTGACATATGCCCTTTCTTTGCTCAGCTCCCAGGACACCTGACTTTCTCACTCTTCCTTTTCCTCACAGGTGCTCTTCAGGATGTTCTGCTGGTTCCTCTTCATCTCCCAACCTCTCAACATCAAAGGAGCACAAGACAAAGGCCTTTGTCCTCTATGTAGCCACCCTCATTTCCATGGTGATTTCACCCAGGCTCTAGACTCTAGTTAGTATCTGTATCCCAGAGAGTCTTTAACTAATCTCTCTCTCCCAAATGCCACACTCATATACCTGACTGCTTATTCAACATCTCCAACCAGGTAGCTAAATGACCTCTCAAACTCCATAGTTCCAAAACAGAGCCCACAAAACATAGCTGCCATCCACAGCCTTTTCATTCACCTGAAGGAAATTCCTTGAAGGAAATTCCATTCTTCTAATTGCTCAGACAAAAAATGTCAAAGTAAGTAAATATTGCAGCTGTCTCTCATTTCCTGCATTCAGTACATCAGGAAATATTATTTTTACATTTAACTTATAAATCAGAACTGGTTACTTCTCACCATCTCCACTGCTCTCATTTGGGCTGAGCTATCTCTGGCCTAGATTACCTCTATAGTTTCCAAACTAGTCCCATTGCATATACTCTTATTCCTTTATCGACTATGTTCAACACACGTTGAATTGTTCCTGTGATTCAGATGATGCCACTCTTCTGCTTGAAGTGCTGCCACAGCTCCCAACCTTGCACAGATTAAGCACTAAAGTCCTTGCACTGACCAGGCAAGGCCCACAGTCTTTGCCCTTTCTCCTCTCCCCTTTTCACACCCTCCTCCAGTCATGATGATCTGGCTGTCCCTTCAGGAAAGCAGAGATACTTCTGCCTCAGTCTCTGCACTGTTTCTTTTACCTCTACAGTTCCATGTGGCTCACCCTCTCCTTACCTCCTCCTTAACACCTTCTCAATGAAGCCTACCTTGTCAACCCTATTTAAAATTACAATCCTATTTCTGTACTCCCAACCTCTCTTGCCCTCAGCTCCTTTTTTCATGCAGTTAATCTATAGTAAACCAGCTGTAGGGAGCACTCAGGAGGCTGCAGCACGAGGATGGCCAAAAATTTGAGGCCAGCCAGCTGTGGTGGCGCATGCCTGTAATCCCAGCACTTGGGAAGCTGGGCCAGGAGGATCGCTGTGAGTTCGAGGACAGACTGAACTACAAAGGGAGACCCTGCCTCAAAAAACAAACAAACAAAATAATCACAAGTATAAAAATTTGAGGCCAGCCTGGGCTACACAGTGAGTTCAAGTCCAGCCTAAACTACATAGAGAGACCCTGTCTCAAAAACAAATACGAAAAGGGGCCGGGGATGTAGCTCAGTGGTGCCACCACCTGCCTTGCAAGCACAAGGTCCTGAGTTTAATCCCCGGTACCAAAAAAAACCCCCCAAAAAACAAGCCACCCACCCCCGCAAAAAATACATATATATCCAAAAAACCCCAAACTCCCCAGTGTTTACTTATTTGTAATGGCTATTATTTCTTATCTGTCCATTTCCCAGAAAAAAGTACCAAAAGAAGAGATCTTTCTCTTTTCTTTTCATTCATCTATGTAAGTTCCTAGAACAGTTTCAACTACACAGTACGTACTCCATAAATACTTGTTGAATGAGTAATTCAAAATACTATCCCACCTTACAATTTTCAAAGTTTAAAAACAGTTGTTTGCCATCAAACATAATCAGCAATCACCAGGCACTTCATTCATATCTCCTCAGGCCAGAATTAGCTGCTTTGTACAGGAGGAGACAGCAATAGTCCCCACTCAATGAATAGGACCATTTTATGTGATTCTGCATTGGTCTACTGACAGTGTGTACTCACCAGTTGCAAAAACGAGGCGATTCTGTAAAGACGACTCTCAATTTTGATGCGCTCTATCTCCAGTGGACACGGCCCTGTGAAGTCGGCCATGGAGTACTGGCCAAGAGAAAGGAGAGCCTCTGTGCAGTGCTTGAGGGCCATGTCATAGTCCTGCCTCTTTAGTGATTCACATGCTTGTTCACATGACTTTTCAGCTCTTCTGTCTTCCATGACTTAGGGACAAAAATCCTAAAGATGGAGAGAACAGAAGAGATTTTAAAGACTAATAATTGTACATTCTAGGTCCACTCTCATCTCAACCAGCTTTATTATCTATCTGAATTGTTTCTTTCAATTAGTCTCCTAACTAAGAAGCAGGTATTGATGCTATAAAAACTAAACCTCTGGGGCCGGGGATTTAGCTCAGTGGTTCCGGTGCCTGCCTTGCAAGCACAAAGTCCCGAGTTCAATCCCTGGTACCAAACAAAACAAAACAAAACAAAAACTAAACCTCTGTTATTATATTTTATGAATTCTTTGCTAAGAGCCAAGCCAAAATGCTCACCTTGAGCCAGTGATATATCAAATTAATAAATGATAAAATGATAAATCTGTAAATGAAATGACTTTAAACATTGCAAAGTACAAAACAAACTACATCAGATTCTCATTTTTTTTTACAAGTGCAGAAATGCTTCATATCTAAAACCTTCTATTTGAGTCTCCTAATAGCAGTCTCACAATTCTGTGACTATGAGTGCAGAAAATCAAAATCCACGCTATATAGGACATTTTTCCAACCTACTGAAAAAAATGACTAAGATGGAAGTTTGACATGTTCATTAGTTTGATTCCGCAAACAATTCCTGAGGTCAAGCCCTGTACTAGCAGCCACAAATGCAAAGATGGAGTATAAGGTCATTGCTTTCAAGAAACAACAATTCTAGCAAGGGAGATAAAACACGAGTGAACAATTACAAGAAGGACTTATTCCATCCACCCAAAGCCATGAGCTGGCCTCAAGAGGTGACCAGAAGTTCATCACACAAATGATGAGGGACCAAATGTAAGTTTTCAAAGAGAGAAGTCCAAGAGAAATCACTAAAGGGAGAAAATCTACAACTTAAACTCAAGGTGTAGGGGAGGAATAGGAGGAGCTATGAATGACCTCAAAGGCCCCAATAAGAAATGAAGGCTCTGTAGGTGATAGAAAGATTTTACATAAAGATGAAACATATCAAATCTAAGTCCTATGAAGAGCTGGTTAAAAAGGAAAGAAATAATACCCATCATCTAATAAGTCACCCACTAAACTCATTCAAGTAAGAGGCAATGACAGTACAAGCACACTTTTCCTCAGCTCTACCATTCAGATAGTAGGAGCAGAAAACCTGGGCAGAAGCCAGGTGTGATGGTGCACACATGTAATCCCAGGTAGTCAGGAGGCTGAGGCAGGATGATCAAAATTTTGGGGCCAGCCTGGGCAACTTAGCAAGACGTTGACTCAAAATAAAATTAAAGGTTAGGGATGTAGCTCAGTGGTAGAGCTACCATGTGTCAGGCTCTAGATTCAATCCCTAGTGCCACCAAAACAAAATCTTTATTATTACAGTGATTTTGCCCACTACACATAAGAACATCATTACGACATAATTACCAAGTCATGGTATAAACCAGAGTTAACTAGTGACATTTTGGGCTAGATAATTCTATTTGTAGGGAGTTGTTCTATGCACTGTAGGATATTTAACAGCATTCCTGGCTTCTATCCACTCGATTATAATAGCACATCCCCGGACTTGTGACAACCAAAATTATCTCTAAACATTAACAACTGTCTCCCTAGGAATGAAATCAGCCCTAGTTGAGAACTACTGATAAAGACAAGCATTTAATGTTTGCTTACCCAGTAAGAGCAATAGCAGACAATAAATCCAGATACCAATGGCCCTAAAATTAGCAAATCTTATCTACAAAACTCCCACATCACACCTAGACAAATATTACAATAAGAAGTAGTAAGAAATTCAAAACTGGTATTGTACAAGCTAAAGTCTTTCCTGGGCAAAGACTGCATTATGGTGACAAAGAGTACAAGCTCAGAACCAGAGGCCCTGCTTTGAAAACTTACCAATGGCTCATTCACCAGCTGTGTGGTCTGCAGCAAGTGACTTAACCTTGAGTATCTCAACTTAGCCCTAAACTGGTGAGAACTAATGCCTACCTCCTAGGGTTACTATAAGGATTAAGCAAAATAATATGTGCAAAGTGCTTAAAAGACTATCTGACACATAAGTGCTCAGTAAGTCTTACCAATTTTTATTCCCCTACATGTCCAAATTTTCAATTTGCATAAAATGGAAATCACTTTCCTTATCTCAATATACAATAATGTATTTATAGAAAATAAAACACCCTATCTAACTACTTTACCTACTTGACAGAGGAACTTATTTTCACCTATTTTTTTCCATCTACTTAAATAAGTAATGATTATGCAAGAATAGTCACTGGAGAAGTACATTCGGATACTACTGGTAAAGACTAGTTAAACCCTAAAACCGGATATGAGGAGCAATCAAAAAGACTACTATCAACATTAACCATCAAACACATTAGTCAGAGAGATCTCAATAACATTAGTATACAAGTAGAAATTAAGTGGAGATTTAGCTCAGTGGTGCTGCCACCTGCCTCTCAAGCGCAAGGTCCCGAGTTTGATCCCTGGTAAAAAAAAAAAAAACAAGTAGAAATTAATGGCAAAACTATTAACTTCAGGATCTGTGGGAAGAAATGACTTAATTTACAGAGTTAGTGGCTCTCTTCCATTAGATGTAGATGCCTACCTCAGATGTGTATGTCAAAGTTTCTACCACAATTACCTTTGTTAATTATGGCTCAATAACTAGTTTCACGAATATTTTGTTACAGCATTGGTCTCTATTCAACTGTTTTCTCTAATTTTTCAGAACAGCACGACCTTGCTATACACACACTCTCTGAAGAAAGTTAAAGTGCAGGGCCGGGGATTTAGCTCAGTGGTTCCGCCTGCCTCGAAAGTGCAAGGTCCAGAGTTCGATCCACGGTACCAAAAAAAAGAAAGTTAAAGTGCTTTCTCTAACATAAAATAACTGCCAGTCATTGTCGAAGTCAGAAAACATCTCAGGCCATGCTAAAATAGACTACAGATAATAAGCAGGGAGAGATTTAGAGCTGCTTCTATATGGAGGTCAGCTCCAAGATACACTTCACTCTGTTGCTGACACCCTTGAGTAGGATACATAGATACATCCATATCTGCAGCGGGATCCATGTGATCCTGCTGCCTAGACATGACAGCTAGATCCAAGGGCAGATACTGGACAATCTGGGTCTATAGGAGGCTGGGTCTATGGGGAGGACCACTATTACTACCCGCAAATTTCTATCCCTATAGAGAAAATTTACTTGGAGGATGTGTCTTCACTGGCAAGAAAGCTAGAATCAGAAACCAAGACTCTAATTCAAATCTATGAACTCCTCTGATCTGTTGCTGATCTATAAAAGGAGATTAATACTACCCTAGTACTCATTCCCTTTCCTGGTAATAAAAGAACACAATTTCTCTCCCCTACTCAGTCCATGTGGTTCCAGAGGAGCAAATTTCATCAGGAACACAAGGGTGGCATGTGACCAGAACTGTTCAGTCACATCTTCACAACCCCTAACACAGGGATGACTCAAGTAAGACATGTGTGACCCTGTAAGAGCCCAGGAGACAGCGAAGGTGCTTTTTTTTTTTTTTAGCTTTTGGGAATGGGACAGGTGCTCTGTCCTGTTAAATTTAAATCCAAAAACGTACAGGGGTTGAGTATACTGCAGGGATCTTTCTAACATACAGTGCCAGCAACTAAAGTCTATAAAGGAAAAGATAGAGTTTGTTTATAAGGAGAAACTGTCCTGATTACATCACTTGAGCTCTGAATTCAGATTCAGCTAGCTATGCCTAGACTTTGCAGTTAGGTAAACCAAGAAATTTCTCTGTAGCTAAAGTCAGTTTAAGATTTTTTTTAATTTCGGAAAGTCAGAACCAAGGCAGTCCTAATTTTTTTTTTTTTGGTACCAGGGATCGAACTCAGGTCCTTGGGCTTGCGAGGCAGGCGGCGGAACCACTGAGCTAAATCCCCAGGCCAAAAAAAAGTATTTGTATATGAATATACAAAGAACTTTAAAAACTCAATAATAAGAAAATGACTCAATTAAAAGTTGGGTAGAGCCGGGGATTTAGCTCAGTGGTTCCGGCGCCTGCCTCGAAAGCGCAAGGTCCCAAGTTCAATCCCCGGTATGGGAGGAAAAAAAAAAAAAAATTGGGCAATCCAGGGTACAGTGGCACACAACTGTAATCCCAGCACTATGGGAAGTTGACTCAGGATCAAAATAGAAAAATCACACATACACACAAAAAAATATCTTTGACATCAGTAGCCATCAGGGAAATGCAAATTAAAGACTTGATTAGATACCACTACCTATCTATTACAGTGGATAAATTTTAAGTATTGATAGGTTGAGGATGTAACCCAGTTGTAGGGTACTTACCTAGTATGTACAAAAGTCTAGGCTTGGTCCTCAGAATCACAAGTAATAATAATGAAATATTATTTCATTTGATAAAATCAAATGATGCATGGAACTCTCATGTATTTCCTAGCTAAAATATGAAGCAGTAAGGACACTCTGCAAACAGTCTGCGGTTTTCTTATAAAATCAAATATGTACTACAAGATATACAACCCAACAATTTTCCTTGTACCCATGACCACTATCCTAGAGAAGGAAAAATATACTCACACAAAAATGTTTATGGCCACTCTATTCATAATTGTTAGACACCAGAAAAAAATGGATAAACAACCTGTGATACCTCTCCACAATAGAAAAACTACTCAGCAGTAAAAGGGAACAACCTTGTAATACATGTAATAACCTGGATGAACCTTAAAAATATTATCCTGGGACTGGGAGTGTAGCTCAGTGTAAAGCACTTCCCCAGCATGTGCAATGCCCTGGGTTCAACTCCTAGCACCACAAAACAAAATAAACATTATTCTAAGTAAAAGAAACCAACCTCAAAAACTTACATACTGTATGATTCCATTTATATGACATTCTCAAAAAGACAAACTATAGGAATAGAGGCCAAATCAGTGGTTGCCAAAAGTCATAAATTGGGGCAACATAACTATAAAGGGATAAATGAGGGAGTTTTT